AGTCTATGACGTTCGCTCTTTATGTTTCAGATTAAATCTAAATATTGCGATCTTCAACTTAGCGGCGGAGTGTAAAATTAGAAGTTCAATTGTCGTCATCTAAGTAGTAGAAAATAATCCATGATTGGCGTCATCGCCAAATTTATCACGTAAAATGAACGATTCATCGACATGTACAGTGTTCTTCAAAAACGCCTTCGACCTCCCAAAAAACGACGGCTAATGCTTCGTTTGATATAAATGATATTCAGAGTAGCAGTAGTACGCCTATAAATTCATTTAGAAAGGCTTCTGATCTTATTTTGTTTAATTTGACTGGCAGTTCGTTATTTTATTCATTTGCTTTTAGAAAAGCCGTTCAAATTCAGCGTCAAAAGAAGTTCCAGTTTTTTTGAAAGCAAATAAATTTATTTGTAGGCACGTGCATGATTTATTTCTGTCTTATTGCATTTTTAGACATATATTTCAGTAAATTGTAATTTGCCGGTATATTCGGTAGAAGTCGAAGCTGCTTTAACTGAACGTATTCAGAAAAGTTCGTTTTTTCTTTGTACGATCTTCTTTGTTACCAATTATTTTATTTTTCGTTTTTTAGGAAATTTAGAGTTAGTTGAAGAAGCATTTATTATTGAAACCACAGATTTTTTTCATGAAAGATAAACCAAAGACCGTCAATCGATTATAGGCATATTGCTGAGGCAATTGTTAAACGTTATCCAAAATTGTTGCAAAGTTTAACATCCTCTCAGGTATGTTTTTCTTAGAGAATTTTTTTGACAAAACATTTCTTTCAATAACTTTATAGAAAAATTTATCGACTTGTCTGCCAAGATCGATTAGAAACAAACGTGCTGAAATAAATATGAAAGCACAAGGTCGTCAGCTTAGGAGTAAAAAGAAAGTGGGTTTACATCTTATAGAAGATATTACAACTGTAGCAGAAAATGTTTTATCAAATATGGACCTGAGTGTAAGTACAATTTGGCGGTGAAAATTTTGTTGACATTTCTCTTTGTCGTAGGTTGAATCTCCAAATAACTCGGTAATCCACATCTCGAACACAACTGATGATAATCGAATGTTCGAAACTGTAATAAATGCACAAAGTTCAATTCAATTAAATAATCCCAATGGAAAAAGCCTTGATATTCAGGAAGAAAATATATCAACATGATTTAGTCAGGATTTTGAAGTATGCTTTTTCTTCTTATAGAACGAAGAAAATAAGATTGTTTATCCATTTTCTGCTGACAACTATTTAAATTCATATTCATCGTTTACTAAAACGTCTATATCAAGTTCAACAGCAAAACTACCATCAACACAGCAATTCTGTTCAAGAACTATTGGCAACTGTCAGCGTTTGGTAAACAAAGTCAATTTTTAAATGAGGATAGTTTATCATCAGAAGAATCATCACGTCTACCGAAACCAGTGTTACCAAAACTGAGACTTCATCCTTCACTCCATTTACCAACTAATATAAAGAAAATTTCGCTCACTCATAAGCACACGCCAATTACACCAAAAGCTAAATTTGCCGGTATAAAATTCGAACGTAGCCTTGCGAATCTGTTGATCCTCGGGTTATATTTATAATAAACTGTTTCCGATTGCAGGAAATCAGTCCTTGTCTCAACCAACTTTTTCTTATGATCTTCCACAATCAATTGAGTTAAAACGAACGGAAAGTAAGCATACTGTATGCTACTGGAATCTTACAAGATGTTTGACTCCAAACAGATGCTTACCGATGCCGCTGAACAATTTGATTGGAAGTTGAGACTGATCTGCCATGTAATACTTCTTTAATTTTCGTTTATGGTTTTTTTCCTTCGCTTTAGAAATTAAAATATCTAAAGATTATAATCGTTTGGCAGCTACTTTAGTTCATTGGTATCAAAAATTAATAAACGAAGAAAAAAAGCTATTGAAGACAAAGATTTAAATAAGGAAATATTTCAAAATGTATTCCGGTCGATCGGTCGCTGTTCCTCTATTCCCCGACTATTCCTCTGTCACTCCTCTATTCCT